AATAGGAATGGTAGTTGGCTCATTGATTTTGATAGCTATGGTGATCATGTGCTGTGTATTCCCTTTGATCAGGATCATGATAGGCAGAATGATGTCATTAGTCACAGGACAGTATCCGCTCCACATCTATAATGATGTGGATGTAGGATAGAGATGAGGCCCATAAAAGTCGGGATGGAAGTTTCATCAGCATACGGAAACCCGGCAATTCCATCCGCACCATCTAAACATCTTTGAGTGAGAATGAGTACATCATCATGATCAGGACATTTGGCAATTCAGGAATAAATTGCATCAAAATGGCAGAAGACCAAAAACCAAAACGAAGTAGAAATAGACCAGGTAAAAGAAACAGAGGGAAAGCCCAACAATATAATGAAAAACTACAACCCCTTTTAGACATGTTACCATATGGACCGGTAACACTAGCAAACTCCAAAACAAAATTACAACACTATTACAGGTCAGTTCAATCTAAGGATTACCCTTGTTGCCTCCACCCTACAGATTTTGTTTAACTGCTGTTTGTTGAAAGATGGACAACAAGAGTATATCAGGAAGCTACAGGATTAGTTGTAAGATGTAGCAAGCTAAAGCTGTCTATACCTACGAGCTAGTAAATAAGACCTATTGCATGCCCCTAGTTACCACAACAGAGAAGGAAGTAATTAGCATTCAGGCAGGTACCACAACTTTGTTTACAACCTACCCAGCATTGACAAGACAGGGCAGTGATCATTTCAGGCAATTGTCAGAAATGTGAGTCAATGCATAGACGACACTTATGTCTACGCCTCCTACACACAGGAAAGAAACCCACTGCTAAGTACCGAGCCTGCCCAAAACATAACGTTGTGCCAATAGAGGACTAACTGTCTGTTATTCTTTTAATAGATACAAACATGGCTGAAGGACAAGGAAATGCCGGAGCAGGCAACCAACCGAATTATTCCCCACAGTTAGGGCAGAGTCAGGAAAGTTGGGAGTACTGGAGAAGCCAGAATTATACACTAGGGCCACAACCTCAACCCAGGCCACCATTGCTCAGCAATTATCAGATACTCTGGCCAGCACAGGATTCACCGCACAGTCAGTGCATGAGGAGGTCCACCGCCACCTCCATACTCATGGTCTACCATGGAACCTAACAGTGCGCTGCCATCAACGTCAGGGTCATGGCCGCCAGCTATGCCGACCCAAGGAGGGTTTGGGCTGCAGCCACCCCCAGGATCCATGCTAAGTCAACTACTACTCAACCAACGCCACACTTTCCAGGCCAGATGTGGACCGCGCCAGTTCCACCACGCCACAACCACCGAACCCACCGGTTAACTGGAATCAAGTTGCACCACCAGTTCGCACTAACGAACTAGGGGACATGGCATCCCAACCATGTCATCATGTCAGAGAGATGCTTGCACAGCAGGGCACACATCAGAATCTCTTTATTAACGCTGAGGGATCACTTCAGCTCTTTGACGCACAAGAAACTCCACCCCTGATTGGTGTGCACTACCACGTTCTCTACCCAGTTACAGCGTCTCGTGGTATTTAGATGCCGAGACATAGAGGGGGAAATGCACCAAGTCAAGTTACGATCCATACAATCCATTGGTACCACTAGCCGACCTGGCGCAGGACAAGCTGCAATGGGGATTCCGGAGCAGCAAGGACCTCACACCTCCACTGACGCACGTCCACGCTCAGCCTCCCACACACCTCAGACATGAGCCTCACTGATGGATATTCTACGGACTCCATACATCAATATAGTCCAACCACGCCTGATCCAAGACCACAGGCTCCAATGCCACTGCCATGGGAATCTCCCACAGTTCATTCTCCTCAACAGCCAAGCGATGACGACACACCACGCGCTGAGCAACACAACTTCCCGGAGGATATACGACCCCTTAGACGAAGTGCACGAATTCTGGCCTATTCCCTTGCTACATCTACAACTCAACAAACACCTGATGATTCTACATCTACAACACAACAAGCACCTGAAGATTCCACTCCAGGGGACATTTCCCCAGCCACCACTGATGGGGATCCTGATTATTGGGGTAAGATGCCCCTGCAAGAGTTCAACCAACTCCTGAGTGAGATGCAGCCTGCAACAATCGCCGCCCGAAGGAAAGACAGACGCCGAGCTTTAGGCCGCATAGCAGCGAGACTCCGTCAGCAGAAGGGCCAACTTCGCAGAGCACCCGCCAAACAACATGATCTTCAACTCTTGAGAGAATGTTGCAACACCCTACAAACCCGCTGTGAACAACTGGAGAAACGCTGTGAGCAACTGGAAACAGCAATGTACATCGTCCAAATGAAGTAACTGTTCCTCTAGGGATGGACATTTTTTAGTCTCATCACTGGAAGTTTTTTATATATTGTTATATGCCTATTACTAAGTGTTAACTTTGCAAATTTTCACCTCTTACTTCAATTTATGCTTGCACAACATATTATAGCAAAAAAACAGCTCACGCACGTAATCATTTCATGCACAGAAGTTTTGAGCTTGCTTAAACTTATGTTAGCCAAAAAACAGCACACGCCAAAGTAACTATACACATGTTTATGTAAGGTCCTGGATCCTTGTGCACACATGTACACAGGTTGAACCGCTGAGTCTCGGGCGGTAGGCACTCTAATGTCAATGA